TCATTACTTGTTCTGTTGTATTAAAGTGACAAACACTCATTACTTGTTCTGTTGTATTAAAGTGACAAACACCCATTACTTGTTCTGTTGTACTGAAGTGACAAACAATCATTACTTGTTCAGTTGTATTAAAGTGACAAATACTCATTATAACATGCTGTTCTCTTGTGAAAAAGTTACAAATACCCATTAGAACATTGTTTTCTTGCAAAGGTTACACATAGCCATTACAGCATGATGTTCTCTTGTAAAGATTTTACAAATACCAATTACAATATTGTATATATTATTCAATTAGTATTTTTCACACTTATAGTACTAAAATGTATGCATGTATGATCACAGAAATAAAGTAATGAAACATGAACACTTTTAGTTCAAAGACAGAATTTTCTTCACCAGCAGTGAATTCAAAGCATTAAAAATTTGGAGGGAGTGATACTGTCATAAAATATATTTCACATAAAGACAATACACACTACATATTAGTGTTGCAAGTTGCATGTCCAAATATTGGTTTTGGCTCCGAGAATACATGCAATACAACTAACTTGTCTATATAGTCCTTCTTTTGTACTAATTATTAGTTTGTTTGAGCAATCAATTCATGTAAATAAAACAGCTTGTGAAAGTTGGTACACTGTTGTATACTAAACACTTGATTCACTGCTGGTACGATGATTCATTCAGTAGAAAAAAATAAAAAAGTAATTCACTTTCCACATTAAAATAGCATTGTTTTGATAAAACATACACATGATGACACTTTTCTATAATAGTAATATATAAAATCTTCTTTCTTAACTTCAGTTTTTACCTTATGTTGTTCTGTTTCAAGAGTCGGATCCAAGGGTCAGGAAGCCCTTCTATACATCCTGTTTCATTATTAACACTCACGTGGATGTTGTGTTTAACAGAAAATGGAACACCAATATCTGATACTCGCTGTGAATCGTCTTTCTTCATGTTCCACTGTTTAGTTTTGAATTTGGTAAATAAACTCATTTTGGTAGCTTTTCTGCAAAATACTGCAATGTTTCTTCAAAACTTCTGCATAAAGTTAACCTAAAAACAGCAGATTATCATAACACTTTAAGGTAGATCATAAACACATAATTTTCAGCCTAAATACCAAATCCTTATTTATAATTGATCAAGTAAACTGAATCACAAAGAAAAACTTTTAAGAAGATAAATTCTTCCTACAAAATAACTTGCAGTAAGATTTAGATTTATTTCTTATTGTGGTTACAATTATCCTATCAGTATCCAAAAAAAAAAAGAATAACAGCACACCTGTAAGTTTTATTTCAATTTAAAAAATAACTATCAGTTTTTATGTTATTTAACTGTAGATTATAATTCAAATTTTAGTGCTATACATTACTCAATTTCTTTATTTAAAAGCAAATATTAAAAAAAAAAACAGATAAACATCGATTTTGGTGTGTCACATGGTATGTTAAATGCAGTACTCATTCAAATTAGATGTTTGTGAAGTCAAAATACTAAGTCTATAGTTTCGTACAATTAGAAACTCAAATTACCAATACTGACAAGCTAAAATACAAAAATAAGAGCCTCTTATCTTTTCAGTTTGCTAAGATATTGCTCATATAATTAATCAAACACAGTGACACCCTGCCCACCTCTTTTCATTTTTGGAAACACTTTCTTATATACACTTTCCTTCTATATATGACATGAATAACCAATTGGAAGCTCAGAATTTCCCCCTAGTGGCTTTTTCAGCCATTTTAACAGGCTTGGCACCATTTCTTTTTTTTTGAACCAATATTTCAATGAGGTAAGGTGTGTCTTTAGTCTGCTTGAAATTTCATATTCTTTAGGCTAAAATACATCTTGGTTACTAAGCTTGATAAATTATAGTGGAACTCTGCAGTATTAATGTAGTAATTTATGATTTTTTAGTTATTCAAATGTATATATAAAACCTAAAAAAAAATATTTTGTTTCATATACTCCATGTGCAAATTTTTTAAAGGCTTAGCAACCTACGTTAAGCAGCAACCGAGTACAAAGGTAGTAACTAGAAGAAATAATTGTTTGCTTTACTTCTTTAGTTACTGTTATATGTTTAAAGTAAAATAGGTTTAAGAACTTATTTCAATATAGCAATAATCTCTCTCTCTCCATATATATATATATATATATATAT